AAAAGTTGGCAAGCTCTGAGGTGCTGAGCATACAAGACAGATTAAAAGCTAGAGTTGGCACAAGTCTCAGTTTGAAAACCAGAATGGCTGCAACTACTGAAAGTCACTGAGATTACCAGTTTATCAGGAGAATTTAGTCTGGCTTTGATAAGCCAAACTGAAGAATACTATTTCTAAATTCCAAGTACCAAATTATGTATTCTGATTAAGAATTAATCTGATTAAGAAAATAACAGTCATTTTCCCCCTGCCTCATTACACAGTCACTTTGCAACCAAAATTGTATCTAAGTAGCAGATCAGACATTTATTTAGGGAAGAATATGTGAAATTGCTAAAGATGTGGGTTATCGCTCTGCAATAAGACACTGCAGTTCTCAAATCTCAAATCAGTCTTAAAGAAAATAGTTTTGATGATAGTTTTTATAGAACTATGGTCAGGATTGTAATGAATGTGAGGGAATTTTTTGAGGGTAAAATGTTTCAAAATTCACCTAGGAAATAATGTGAGGCTTGTTATTAGTTATAACAAACTGGAAAACATTCTAACAATCTTTCTATTCTCCATTGTAATTAAATCTTCATACCACATAGAAAAAAGTTTAGAAATAATGCTTTATTTGAAGCAGTTTTGACTTGATTTTGTATCATCTAAAACAGAGAGGTATAATATCTTATGGGATTGATTTTTATCAACTTCATCTCTATGAATCCATCTGAAGGTTGTCTTAATTTTTAAAAGGTCAAATGTGATATACCAAATCCCTGAACTCATCAGATCTCATAAGGAAGGGAAATGTGGTGGGAAGAGATATGGTTTTGAGCCTATGCAGCCCTCAGCCTGCTTTCAAGTTTTCCCACCAAGGAACGATGTAACTTTCTTGGTCCTTCTGTGTTCTCATAGCCAAAATGCCTGTTCAAGATAAATATGCATAGTCAGTTTGTCTTCAAAGTGGACTGTGCACATTTCATGTGGAGGGACTGTATTCTAGCTTCCCTTTTCTCATCTGTAAAATGGAAATATTTGGAGTCCCTCCAGGATAGTTTGCAAGTATAATAGGGTGATGCATATAAAAGTACCAGGCATGGCCCTAGACAGTTTAGCTCAGTGATTAGAGCATCAGCCCATGGACTGAAGGGTCCCAGGTTTGATTCTGGTCAAGGGCATGTACCTTGGTTGCAGGCTTGATCCCTGACCCCAGGTTGGGGCGTGTGCAGGGGACAACCAATCGACGTGACTCTCTCACATCAATGTTTTGTTTTGTTTTTTCTCTCTCTCTCTCCCTTCCATTCTCTCTGAAAAGCAATGGAAAAAACATCCTTGAGTGAGGCTTAACAAAATAAAGTCCTGGCATGGACCTGGGGAATAGCCTGGAACATGTGCTCAATAGCACAATGATTATTGTCTGAGACTTCTGCCATTCCTGTGCTAGTATAATTCCTTTCCTCCTAAGTAGTGCTACATCCAAGGATTTGTTCATGCGGTGTGCATATCCACCCCCAAAAAATAAACTAAAGCTGGACACAACTAGTCTGTCCCCATTAGACCTTTCATCAATTCTTGGGTCAATGACTGGGATATTTTCAAACCTGTAGCTAATATCATAAGTGGAGAAACTAGTTTTATGGCAATGAAAGAACATATGCCTTTATACTGGGCTTTTATGGAAACTCCAGATATTCTCAATAGCACAGCTTAAAATACAGGAGTTGCTTGATTAAAAGAGAGTCTGGATGGTTTCCAACTGGACAGAGTCCATATGTTAACAACCAAGTGTAACAGAAGAACTGATTATTTGGAGCTGCCATCTTTTCAACAGTACTCACAAATTAACTGAAATGAAGGACTGACTAGATGGATACCCTTCAGTTCATGGATGCTATCTCAAAATGTGTGTCAGGGCCACCAAATATAGATCTGTTCCAATTTAGGATAACTCATAAAATTTCCAAATAGGTCATGTACTTTTGTAAAGCCACTGTATTGACGTGATATTTTAATCAACTAGATGAAGCAATCCAATTCAAGAAACTCAAGTATTTTGGGCTTGGTTTAAGTTTTCTCTTCCATCACTCCTTAATAGCTTCATTGAGAAACTAGAAAGTAATACAATATCTGATGTGTCCATTTAATCCCTGAATCTTGTAACTGAAATATATGACTCTTTTAGAATCAGAGCAGGCATGGTATTACTGTACAACTCTACATCCTGAGAAATACAATTTGACCTTCATAAACCCATGCTTCACCCTCTTTTTGTGGGCAGAGATCTTTTTATAAGGAGGCTAGGAAATCCATTAGATTTAGAAGACCTGGGTAAGGCCTGTTCCAAGACTATAATACAGCTCAGACTCATACAAGCTGAGGGAACCCAAAACTGTTGGTTCTTCTTTTCTGACAAGTGTTTATATGTGTACCTGTATGTATACACACATATACAAATTAATTTGCTTAACTTTCCCTTAATAGACTTTATATGCATACTTTGAAATAAAAATAAATTCACTTTGATTTAAATTCACATCCTCTGAATACTAGGTCAGTGCTTTCCTCCCAATACCATATCTGCCATGGAGTAGAGACTTGAACCCAAGTCTTGAAACTCCTCCAGTCCAATGCTCTTGCCCCATGTGCAGTGAGAATTCCAACTGGATTGGGTAGGATGCTACCCCATGAATGGACACCCCATAAAAAGCACTATGTGTCAATGGAGTACACTGAGCAAAGGAAAGACCCAGTTCTCCAAAAGGCCTAGAGAAAGCAGTGGCTGTCAAGAACACCGATTGAGCCTGGTTAGTTTCTAGCTTGCACTTAGGCACATTTGGGCCAGTGTTTACAGACCTGGTACCCATATGTGCAGTTCTTATAAACAATTCAGGCTCAAATGTAAGATATGAAATTTTATAACCAGTGAAAAGAGGCCAAGATGAGAGGAAGTAATAAAGTACTCCAGTAATTAAGGGATTCTGTTTTACAAGACCCATCTCCCTCAATTGTAGTAAGTGGCAGGACTATATCTAGGATATTTGCAGACCATGGGAAGGTGTCTCTCCTGCAGTATGGCCAACTTAGGGGTTGCTTCCCACTAAGCTCCAGTCATCAACAGTCTGTCTACACTCAGAATGTTGTTAGTTGCCTGGAAGATTACCCTGCCAAATAGAAAATACTAGAAGATGGCTTAAAAATCACACTGTACTAAAATATGGGAAAATGATAGTAATATCTAAGCTGAAAAATTTGGGAAGCTAAAAGTCAAAATAATTCTTATAACTCTTATCTGTCCTGTATCAAACCCATCTATTATACAAAGAGAACTTACTTCAGCTGAAGTCTGATGGACAATACTTGGACTTTAGACCAAGCAGCTAAACAGAGAGCAAGCAGCTCATTCATAAAATGGACCTTGTGTCTTCTAGTTTTATTGATGCTTCCTATAGAAAACCCTGAATGCAGTACATACACTGTGCTGTGAAGTGCTGTTTTCTGAAAGCACAGCCTCAAACTGTAAACCATGGTTCATGAGTTTATTTTTCTTAGTTACTAACAATTGAAATATTGCATTTTAGGAACTATATGGACATCAACATATTTCACAGTAGGAACCTCATACTCTTGCTTTAGGAGTAAGATCATTTTATAATGGGGAAAATTTTTTTTTTTTTTTCATGTTTGGAAACTTGCATTGATTTCCCAGATCTGAAGTGCACACATGCATGTGTGTGTGTGTGTGTGTGTGTGTGTGTGAATTTTATTGATTTCTAATGGGAAAGGAGCAAAGCAGAGGGTAAGATCTATTGTTTACTAGAATAAAATGGGAGAGAGCATTTCAAAATGCGATTAATGCAAAAGTTAAAATGAACAATATCAAAGATGATTTTGATTTCTATGTTTCTATATAATTTGGTCCTTAAATCAGGGTAATGGTTTTTATTCCCCCTCTTATTTTTTATCCTTTCTTTAAATGGAGAATTCTTAGTTGTTAAAATTGAACTTTGAATTAGAAGGCACAGCACAGAAGGCCAGAAGACAAAATAAGAAGATGGGTGATGGGGTTATGGCTTTCAGTGCTTTGCTGCTAAACAGAACCAAGAACATGGAAATGGCACTGACTTTCTCTGAATCTCAGTCTATTTGGGAGTCATTCCCAGTTGTTTTATGCAATTATTTGTGATCTTCCAAAAGGTGAGCCATTCCTTTCAAGTGTGCCATTAGGCCACTTGAATGTCATAAATTATTTCATTTTGAAAATCTTCAAGTATGTGATTATTACTTACACAGTGTACTCCCATTTTCTATTATTAGGAATAAAAGGAGTTGTGAGACAAATACTCCTTTGATATATTCTTGGACAAATGGATATTACAAAATCTACAATAGTTAATATGAGAAAATTGGTTTCTTCATATCCCTCCTTCAGTTAATAAAAAAAGAAGACAGTGCTGAGTGAATTTCAGGGCCCTGGCTTGTGAATTTCAACCTATTGTTATGTGATCTCTTATTCTATCTCTTCCTGGCTGCCTCTGTTTGGCTTTAATATACAGTAGTCAGATGACCTACAAATGGTGAGGTCTCAAGATGACTGGCCATAGCAATCCATTCTACATTTCATGCCCAATCATGGCTGCTCAGATGTGCCCTTTCTCCATCTTCGTTAGAGGTGTCTGGGTATTGTATATAATGATGTCTGTAGCTGATGTTACACAATACTCAAACAACTAGTCAAGAATTATAGTTGTTTTCATATCCCAAGTATTTATTCAGCCTGTGTCTACATCATTAGAGGACCTATTGGTTATATCATTCATTTTTACTGTTAGTTGCTTATCGTGGTAAATCTCGTTCTCCCCTCTAACCATATTATTATGAGTCAAGGTTCATATTTTTAAGGAGCAGGACAAAGAACAAGTTTCACTCAGCACTGAGGCACCATTTCCTTGCCAAATGCCCCTGAAGAAGCCTATTTTGAAAACCCGAGTATTCACAACTTGAGTGATACTTACTTTGTAGAAGCTCTGCTGGTTGGGTCGCTCCACTCTGAAAAGAAACGGCATGCATAATTACTATCCATATTTTCTACTGTCAAAGGATTATTCTGAATTAAACCGATTTAATTCAGACATGCAGCCCTTCCAGTTATACTTTTTCACAGCATCTTTCAATTAATAAAAGATGAAAAAACAAACTGGATGTATCACAATATGACTTTTTGTTATTGTTATTTTATATTTCAATAATATTAGGTAGAAAAGAGAAGAGGGAGGAGAGGACATAAAATTTGGACTAAGAATGTTTTTAAAACCACCTACTTTGTAAGGTGAATCCTGAAGTCATATGTTGGGATTCCTATAAGGAAGAACACATAAAATACAAACATTAGTTAAATGACTCAAAGGGAATAAAAGATATATCTCTTATTGCTGAAGATATAAGTTGAGTAATGTTTGTAAATAGGAAACCATTGTTGACAATTCCATTAATTAGACATCTGTCTGTAGCTCTATTTGAAGGATAAACATTTGATAAATAAACTTGCTGCAACATGATCATAACAGCCATTTTCTCAGAATTATTCAGACTGGTATCTATTTGGTATCTATTTCACCTCCATGTGTGAAATTCAAGTATATAATTTCTCACTGACCTAGGCAATTATGCCTCTAAGGAAGTAAAGGGTACTTAGTTCAGAGAAATAATCATGGTTTTTGTAGAAGTATAAACAAGGCTGTAATTAATAGATTTGCTTACTTGTTCCATTTTATAGAAACAACTCCAATTTTCTACCTTAACTGTGACACACATGCAATACATGTATCTCATTTTCAAGAAAAAACTGTTCTTGAAACTTTATTACAAATTTCATGAAGCATAGGAAGCAATTTGAAATATGCTAGTGGAGCACATTATTTAAAGGGATTTAAATTTGATTTGAAAGTCTCCCTACACACAATTCATTCACTGTTTTGAGAAATCAGTGTTTGGATATGTCAGGCTTTCTCAGAGCGTGGCATGCCTGTATGGATCCTGACAAAACTTGCAAGCAGAAGTATAACAATGATGTACAGGGTGTGCACAGCACCTCATGGATAGAAAAGAGAATATCGACTGCAAAGCAAATGTGTCAAAACTGGAGACAATGAATTCCAGTAAATATAAGAATTAGTTACAGCAATAAGTGCTAGAAATAATCTATTATTTAAGCCTAAACTTGCCACACTATAGAGTAAAAATAGGATCATAGCATAATTTATATTTAAAATAAGTAAACAAGAATGATAGCACTGTGCTTTAATAAAAAGTGTACTTTGCAGTATACTTAGCGTGATTCTGTTGCCCAAGAGACTTATTTTCTGGCAAGATCAGCACTCCAGAAGACTACCATAAAATGTTCATAAGAGATGGAAAAGGCCTCTCAATTTAAGAGCTGTGCTGCTGAAAAGTTTCTGTACCTTCACTGATAGAGAACTGACTTTTGACAACTGTAACAAGCTTGGCCATTTGATTCCCACCACTTAGCAAATCATAGATGACTAGAAAGCAGAAACACTTTTAGGGCCACAGCCACTAGGAACACTGAGACATGAAAACTGATAGCACAGGGGGCCAAACAAAATGACATAGAAAATCTGAACTTAAAGAGCACAAAAGTCTATGGCCATTTAATATAGAGGCAAGCATTTCTGCCCATCTTAATAGCTCTTGAGGGCACAATTACAGCATAGTATAATACTACAGCATAGTACAATAACTGGTGATCATAACAATGTCAAAGTTATCAAGAAAGACTAAAGCATGTTCACTATAATTTTTATAAGAAGTCAGAAAATATTAATTACATTTCAAAATGACACCTATTATATGATTCGTATGGAAGGATAACCTTTGTTCATCCAAGAATTTCAATTATCCAGAACACTTCATTTCCCAAACTACCAAATAAATGAGCGGTTAACCATTTACATGTTTTAACTGTATACCAATATTTCTACCTGTTATGTTTTTAAAGGGATTTCATTATAATTGTATAGGGCAAGTTTGAGATTGTATACTTTTAGGAATCAAATAAAAATTTCCAAAGTCAAATACACCAAGTATCTGGGCAGAATTTTTAACCTTCATCCAAGTATTTTACACTTTAGACTGAAACAATCAGTTGTGCAGGGCAGCAGGGCAGTAATTCATGAAACAAATTGGAGGGTTGTTATTTACTAAATTTGAGTCACTGGTGTTATATATTCTTGACACAGTTTTTAAATGTTAAAACTTTTTAAAACCAGAATTCCAAACAAATGAAACACTTTTGGATATTACCCAACTTGCTCTACATACATACCTAATTAGAAATAGCTTGGTCATGGAAAGTATCTGCATTATTCATGCAATAATTTTTTAAGACTTTTTAATTGATTTTTTAGAAAGAAAGGAAGGGAGGGAGAGAAAGATTGAAACATCAATGATGCGAGAGAAACATCAATTGGCTGCTTCCTGCATGGCTCCACCAAGGACCGAGCCTGCAACCTGGGCATGTGTCCTGACTGGGAATAGAAACAGCAACCTTTCAGTACAAGGGATGATGCCCAACCAACTGAGCCATACTGGCCAGGGCTTTTTAATTTTTATTTATTGAATTGAGGGGAGGGGCATCTGTTTGTTTTTCTACTTATTTATGCATCTATTGGTTGATTCCCATATGTGCCTTGACCAGGGATTGAACCCACAACTATGGCATATGGGGGTGACCCTTTCTACTGTGCAAGCTCTGTCATGGATATAAGAAGAAATGGATGGTTTCTGAGAGGGTTGTGACCCCTAGTTCTGGTGTAAGCACTGAGAAAAGGGTGATCACCCTGGTTACATGTATTTATTGGAGATACCTATGTTTTGGAAAACAGAATTTGAACTGGACAACTTTAAATCTGTGAGATAAAAAACTACATTGCCAGAACATCTGGATCTAAAAGCTGGTTCTGTTATTTATTAGGTAGGTAATTCTGAGCACATTACTTTACTCTGTGCCTCAGTTTCTTCCTCTGTCAAGTAAGGATAGTCAAATTACCAATCTCTTTTCATCACAGTGATGATCAAATTATTTAATATATATTAAGTACTTAGAATGAGGTGCGGCACATCATAGCATTATGCATGTTGTTGATGCTATTATTGTTACTTTAAATGAACTTTTCTTTCAAACCAACATTTCGGGAGGGATCAAGCAAAACAAAAGAGTGGGTGTATGGTCATCCTGATTTCACCATTTTATCCCACTTGATTATACCTTCATCATAGAGTTGATCGTACACAGATAATTGTCAGAAGAAAAAAATTATGCCTGATACCAAATTTTGCACTTACTACAAAAGCCATTTAAACAAGCAGTTGTATTGTGTACACTCGTAACTGTCAAAATTGTGACTTGTACAAATTATCTACAAAATTGGACAACAGAACTGAACACACTACAATTGCTGCACAATTGTTGGATGTTAGGGAGAAGGTACCAGGCCCAGGGCAGTCTAAGGAGTGAGAGTAGGAACATAGGAGGGAATGATACACACCCAGAGAGGGTTGGTGCTCACTTAATTCTGACCCCTTTCAAAGGTGGGAAGGGACCAATGCAATTTAAGCCAATGCTATTGTCAAAATCAGGATCCCAAAAATTAAGGGATCTGATTTGTTTTCTACATATAAAGTCCAAATTCCTTGGCTGGCACTCAAGGCCTTCTGCAGAGATGTATTTATCTGCACGGTGTTCATCTCTCTCTACTCCCCATCATGCAAACACTGATCCAGCCACTCGAGATATCATATCAGTATGGATCACACCATGATCCTTTGTCTTGCCAGGCATTTGCCCATTCTGTTCTTCTGCATGGAGTATTTTTAAAATTTATCTTTATTGTTGAAAGTATTATGGATGACCCCCTTTTTCCCCCCATTGACTCCCTCTTCCTGCTCCTGCTTCTTCCCCAGGCCTTCACCACACTATTGCCTGTGTCCATGGGTTATGCATATAAGTTCTTAGGTTAATCTCTCTCCCCACCCACCCCTGCCTTCCTCCTGGTTATTAAGCCAGTTGATTTCCTTACATTTGTGAATAACCTTCTGTTTGCTCCCATCATTGATCTTGCCTTGAAGTTTTTCATCTTCAACGTTTGTTTCATGTTGAATGCATAAGATTTGTGTGAATTCTTGGAAGACACCTTGTTCTAATGCTTCTCATTTTCAGCTTTGTACTTTCAGCTTCCTGGACCCTGCATTCAATGTCTTCCTTGCTCAGATGACCCTTGACATTAGTGATGGTAATCTTGTTCTCTTTTTCAGTACTCTTATCCACATCAGAGACATTATGGATGCCGTTGGCATCAATATCAAGAGTGATTTCGATCTGAGGAATACAAGGTGCAGGAGGAATGCCTGGGAGTTCAAACTTGCCAAGCAGGTTGTTATCCTTGGTCATGGCATGTTCACCTTTGTAAACCTGAATGAACACACCAGACTGATTGTCAGAGTAGGTAGTGAAGGTCTGTGTCTGCTTGGGAGAAATGGTAGTATTGTGCTTGATGAGGACAGTCATGACTCCACCAGCAGTCTCAATGTCAAGGGAAAGAGGAGTGACAACCAACAGCAGCAAATCTCCAACAGTTTTGGGTTTGTCTCCAGATAGTATGGCTGCCTGGACAGCTGCACCATAAGCAACAGCCTCATCAGGGTTGATGCTCTTATTCAACTCTTTGCCATTGAAAAAGTTCTGTAGGAGTTTCTGAATCTTGGGGATATAGGTAGGCCACCCATCAGGACAATATCATGGATCTGAGACTTGTCAAGCTTGGCATCTTGAAGCGCTTTCTCCACAAGGTCCAGGGTGCCACAGAAAAGGTCAGCATTCAAGTCTTCAAATGGGGCATGGATGGTAGAGGTAGAAGTCAATTCCTTCACTGAGCAAATCAATCTCAATACTGGCCTGGCTGCTGGATGAGAGAGTATGCTTAGCATATTCACAAGCAGTATGAAGGCGATGGACAGCCCTCTTGTGCTCACTGATGTCCTTCTTATGCTTGTGCTTGAACTCTGCAATGAAGTAATTGACCATTCAGTTGTTAAGTCTTCTCTACCTAAGTGGGTGTCCCTAGCTGCAGAGTTTACCTCAAAGATTTCATCTTCAATTGTGAGACATTGCGACACATTTAACTTGCTACCTCCAGAGTCAAAGATCAGAACTTTCTTTCAGCTTCAAACTTTTTGTCTAAGCCATAAGTAATAGCAGTGGATCTTTGGTAGCCTGATGCTGAGAGCCATTGAAGTAAGCAAGTACTATGACAACAGCATTAGTAACAGTCTTCCCAAGGTAAGTTTCTGCAATTTGCTTCATCTTCGTGAAAACCATAGATGACACCTCTGCTAGATAGAAACATTTTATCTCTCCCTTGTATTCCACTTGGGCCTTCGTCCTGCCAGCATCATTCACCACCACAAAGAGCTAATGTTTCATATCAGACTGGACAACAGCACCATCAAATCTATGTCCAATCAAGTATTTGGCAGCAAATCTGTGTTGGTAGGATTCATTGCATCTTAATTCTTTGCAGCATTACCAATTCATTGTTCAGTATCAGTAAAGGTGATATAACTTGGGGTGTTTCAGTTTCCCTGATCATTGGCAATTATTTCCACTTTTTTTGTGCTGGAAGACAACCACACAAGAGTAGCTGGTACCTAGATCAATGCCAACTGCAGGTCACTTAGAGGTGGTTGCTTGAGTGTATGCATAGCTTGCAAAGATTTGTATCAGAACAGTTGCCCCCCTCCATTCAATAAGCTACTTAGGTATTTTAAAAACTGATGGTGAGAAAAAAACTTACTGGGAGCAGGTGAGGCAAAATTATATTAAACATTTGACAATAGGACTACAGAAGAAAAATTTCTGTCAATACAATGTGTTGGGGTTTTTGTTGTTAAAAAGATGTGCTTGTTATTGTTAATAAACAACTATATTAAGAATACATAAGAGAAAAAGAGTGGTATCTTTATATGATGCTCTGTGAGCAAGAACTGGAAGGTGATATAAAAATAAAAATTGATCTATTAGAATGAAGTGTATAGGCTTTTATAATTTAAAATTTTTCATATGTTGATACATTATCTATTTGGTCTTCCTTAAAGGACAAGTTCATTCTTCTCTCTGATTAGTCAGCTCTGGGCACAGTAAGTTGGACAGTGGCCATGCTCTAGGTATGGTAGCATATGCAGTGTCAAAGTGTATATTTTCTTAAAGACTCTCTTTCAACAAAAATGATATTTATAATAACATCTCAAGGGACAAGAGAAAGTCTAGATTTTATGGAGCTAGAAGATTGGCATAATTGAAGTAGGATAAAGAAAAATGGAGGAAGGTAGATAACTGACCTGTCCTGGGATGGAAAATGTGTTCTGCTCAGAGTTTCCAGGAGTATGTATGGCAGTGAGAGGAGTTGGCCAGGAATGTGTCATCTCCTGATGAGGAAAAAAAAAGCAACTTTATTTTGGGGCACTTAGAAAATTAAACACCTTCTTGGCACTAAACATAGTAAGCCCTTTATAAATACTTACTGATTGAATTGGTTGAATTTTTTTCAGAGAGACTTAAAGTCATTTGGTCCATTCCCTTGCTCCACACTGGTGCTTGAAGCCTATTTGCAATACAAAGGGCCATCTAACATCCACTTGCACATTGCCAATGACAGGGAGCTCACATATTGAGGCAGCCTGATCAGATTATTCTTCCTGGATATGAGCTACACCCGAGTCTCTCAGGAGCCTCTACCTATGGATCATACTTTGGAGCTGCACAGAACACATCCTCCTCTTCTTTCACATGACAAGCCTTTAGCTGTTGAGATACAGCAATTTTATCCCCTGGTGTCATCTTTTCTCTAGGCTGAGACATCCACTGCTTGTTCACTTATTTGTTGGGAATGTTCAACTTTTCTTCTAATGCTTGAGTTCTGCATTCTGTCACTATCCTAGGTGCTCCCCAGAGGGGCTCTTCTAAATCATGGTATTCTGTTTGACGTGTGATTGGTCAGCTCAGGGGAGAGCAGTACTGTCACCATCCTGGTTCTGGATACTCTGATACTCATTTCTCTTGATGTAGCCTAATAGATAGTGACAAGATTACACACATGCTGTTGATTTTTCCATGCAAAGATGAGAAAGCTGAAGAGAGTGCTTTGTCATGTGATTGGTAGCTCTGTTCCACCCAGACATACACACTGTATATTTGTGAGTTCAAGTCTCAAAGTAGGATAAGCCCCTCAGCCTCCCTCACTCTCTGTTATCAGAAAGGGCACCTTCTCAGTTCTTTCAAACATTTAGTTTGAAAAGAGGTCCTGTATATTCAAATCATGCTTTAGTAATAGGGCTTGTGGCCAGCACGCTTTACCTGAAGAGTAAGGATAATTAAATCACATGCTTAACACCCCAGCACCAGAGAGATGACAAAGTTTGTGAAGCAGGACAGTGCCAGCATGTGTTGGATTCATCAAACATTTTTGTAGGTACACATTAAACATGATAGAAATACAGGACAGCTTTGGGGAAGGGCATAAGGGATGAAAGTTTATGAAAGACCTTTTCAATGAATCAGTTACATAATACTTTTCTTCAACATTTATGGGTAACATAGTCACTGCAAATGTAATATTTTTTATATATATATTTTTTTATTTCAGAGAGGAAGGGAGAGGAAGAAAGAGATAGAAACATCAATGAAGAGTCACTGATTGGCTACCTTTTACATGCCCCCTACTGGAGATTGAACGCCCAACCCGGGCATGTGCCCTGACCAGTTATCGAACTGGAGACCTCCTGGTTCATAGGTCGATGTGCAACCACTGAGCCATGCCAGCTGGGCACAAAGGTAATATTAATAAAAACCCTCAGGTAGCAATAAAACATGTTGTTATTTCCTTCTATAATTACCTAGTTCAAAAAGAATCTTTGATGTATGAAGAGCTATAATGCAAGGAGATACTTCACAGATTCATTCACAGCGGCACCACTGAAGCAGAATCTGTAAGTATAATTAAGACTAGTGCTGACAGATTGGATTTTACCTAGCACTATTTAAATGGAGGTGGTAAGTACATTAAAAATACATACAAAATTTAGAGGGGATGATTAACTTACTTAAGAGATAGAATATTTCCAAGTGTTTTTTGAGATGTGCATTTGTATGCAGTTGATAACATTCTTGACAAATGTTACCTATGAGTTTCATCAAAACACCCCAAAATAACTATGTGACAATATTTTAAAGCTGAATTCCAATTACTCTGACTCTAAAATACTCAATGACTTCTTTTAAATTTTAGATTTTTTTTTCCTGTTTAAGGTTGGTATTCTCCAAAGTTAGTCCTATCACTTAAAAGATATAGGTCCTATTGATCAAGCTGAAAAGACACAACACTTCCATCCCAGGCTGGTGTTGTATCTTTTCAGCCTCGATCTATGAGAGGCTTAGTTACATTCCTTTTCACCACTGGCTTTAGAGGTGTGTCCCTGGTTAGATTAAAAGGTATTTCAGACACCTGAGGGATAAACTCACTTCTTAAATGTGTACTTTCTTTCCCAGGTCTTCTGTATTTCCTCTGTGGCAGATTCTGATTATCTTGAATTACTATCAGAATTCACTGACCGGCTGTTCAAGCCACATGGAATTGCATACACTTTTACATTTTCAGTTACAATTGATTCCCTGTATTTGAAAATCTGAAATTTCATGAAACAGCATGTTGATTGCATGGTACCATGATGCATTTGATTAAGGTGGTGAGGATACAATTGAAAGGAATATAATTTCCTGAAAGTATATCTTTAGCAAGGAATGGTAGAGTAACTCTCACTTCCCAAAATTAGAACTGTAAAGAGCATAAAGCTTGCAGCAGATTTTCCATTACTATCTTTTTAATTCCCACTTGAAGATTATTAATCTATTTTTATGTTCTTGCTATTCCCAAGATAAGAACACCCATGCACCCTTATCCAACTATCTTGATTGGTCTGAAACTCCAACTTGGCTCCATTGACTCTTCCCAAGACTGAGACAAAATAGGAATTAATATCCCCACTGGACAGTCAAGGCTTTGGAGGCTCCAATACATGGAGCAACTTGCACACAGCCTCACATTAGTCATAAGTGAATGCTGGTGACCAGTTCCAAAGTGCACACTCTTTCCACTACACTAGATGGGTCTTCTCTTTGTAAGGTTGACTAACATAGTTAATAGAGAAAGGGCTAAATAAGTAATACTATTTTATTTTTCACTATTTGACAGAGAATAGGCTCACAAGCAATAGAGAATTCTACATCATTTCTAACAATGGGACAGACACTTACATTAATGTTATCTGAAGGCTCTATAGTCAAACCTAGAAAAATCAGAAAAGGCCCATTTTTGACCAGTGATTCC